AAAAATAAACAAAAGGTATCCAAATTGAAAAGGTAGAGATATAAAGGAAGAGGTAAAGCAATTTCTTCACAAATTAGGTAGTCTTCTATGTAGAAAATCATAAGGGGTCTTCAAAAAATTATTGGAGATAAGTTCTATAAGATTGCAAGATAGGGGCCAGGGTTGTGGCTCAGCAGTAGAGTGCTTGCCTAGCATGTGTGAGGCACTGGGTTCGACCCTCAGCACCACATAAAAATAAATAAAATAAAAGTATTATGTCCAACTACCACTAAAAAAAAATACATATATTTAAAAAAAGATTGCAAGAAAAAAGATAAAGGTATTAAAAATTCATTGTAATTTACCTGGATGTGGTGTTAAAAGTACCAAACCTCCCTCTGCTCCAGTATTCTCATTTAATTGATCTGAGTGAAGTCCAGGCAGTATTACTATTATTTTTTAAAAAATATCTATGCACTTGGGCGCTGATGATGTAGTGTTTCCCAATGCACATAAAATTTATGTTTACAATATACTGTCGTCTATTAAGTCTGCAGTAGCATTATGGCTAAAAAATGTGCATACTTTAATTAAAACATTTTTATTGCTAAAAGTGCTAGTGATCATCTGAGCCTTCAGCAAGTTGCAATCTTTTTGGGGGAGGAGGGTCTTGCCCTGGTGCTGATGGCTGAAGACTAGTGCTTGATCAGTGTAATGCTTGCTTAAGGTTGGGGTGTCTGTGGTGATTTCTTAGGACAATGAAGTTTGCTACATCAATGACTCTTTCATGGAAGATTTCTGTGTAGCATGCAGTACTATTGGATAACATTTTGTGCTTCTTAAAACTTCTTTCCAAATTGGAGTCAATGCTCTCAAACCCTGCTATTGTGTAATCCTTGAGGCTTATGTGTTGAAATTCTGTGTTGTCAACAGTTTTCACCAGGAATAAACTCCATCTCAAGAAAAAAAAAAAAATTCATTGTATTTCCATATATTAACAGTGAGCAATCTGAAAATAATGTTAAGAAATAATTTTATTTATAATAGAGGATATGAAAATATAGTGGAATTACATTATGGCAATATGCAGTTTGATTTATAAATATGCTAAAAACCACTGAATTGTTCCTTTAAAGAATGAGTTTTATGGTAAGTGAATGTTTTAAAAAAGTGTGTGACTAAGGACTTGTATCCAGCATATATCAAAACTCATCACTCAATAATAAAATAAGAAGCCCAGCACAAAAATTTATAAAATATTTGAATAAACATTTCTTGAAAAAATGTATATGAATAGCCAACAAGGAGATGAAAAATGTTCAACATGTTCATTTAAAAAGTCTAAATTAATGTCACAAGTGATAATACCAAGTGTTGGTGAGGATTTAGAGTAGCTAAATGAGTAGAATTCTCATTTTTTAATGGTAGGAATGCAAAATGATATAGTCAATTGGAAAAAGTTTATTTAAAAGTTTCTTTTAAAAATAAGCAAATGCTTACTGTACAACCCAACAATTCTATTCTTGTGTATCTTCCAAAAGAAATAAAAACATATCCATATAAAGACTAAATAAATGTTTATAAAAGCCTAATTTATAGCGAAAAACTGACCTGAAAGTCCATGAATGAATGAATAAAATGTATTGTGTCTATACATTAGAAGACTACTCAGCAATTAAAAAGAATGCATATTGATATATACAATAACATGGATGAATATCAAAATATTATTCTAAGTGAAAGACCTGGCACAGACAACATACTGAATGATTCCATTTATATGAAAAGAAGATTAGAGCTAAAACTATAATGGCAGAAGGCAGGTTAGTGGATGCAGGAATAGGGATCAGGATCGACTTCCTGGAGCATGAGTGAATTTTGGGGGAGATTTTTCTAAAATTTTATTGATTGTGGTGGTCACATTACTGCACATACACAAAAGTTAATCAAATTATACTTAAAATGGAATTTTATGGTATGTAAATTATACCTCAGTAAAATGGTTTTAAAAAATGTCTGTAGCTATATAAATGGAGGATATATAGCTTCATTTCTAGAGATTAAGATGTTGTTATCTTTCTCAACTTGCATATAATTTTGATTTTTTATCTTTATTTTTCATTTCACATATTTTAGAATTTTGTATTTAATGTAAATAAGTCATTCACTTGTGTAAAAGTTTGTTAAATATCTGCTTTGTGCCAAACACTGGAAATATACAATTCCTATTTTCAAATAACTCACAATCTTATAAAGAAAACTAATTTATTTTTAAAGTTATTAATAGAAAACATAAGCACAAGAATAGAAGTATTTACAAGATATGGAAGGATTTATTTTATCTGAATGGAGCTGGGTGGTTTAAGGTCTCATTAAATGGGGTCAGGTAAGGTTCCCTAGGGAGGTGGAGTTTGGAGGATAAGAGGAATTGACCCAATAGACAAGGGAGAATAAATAAGCACACTAGCTTCCTACATGGTCTTTTTTTAAAAAAATATTTATTTATTTATTTTAATTAGATATATATATATATGACAGCAAAATGCATTTTGATTCATCATATATAATTGCATCACAACTTTACATTTCTCTGGTTGTACACGATGTGGCATCACACCATATGTACAGTCATACATGTACCTAGGGTAATGATGTCCATCTCATTCTACTATCTTTCCTGCCCCCATTCCCCCTCCCCACCTCTCCCTTCCCTTTACCCAAAGTTCCTCCATTTTTCCCATGCACCCTTCCTACCCCATTATGGATCAGCATTCACTTATCAGAGAGAACATTTGGCCTTTGGGTTTTGAGGTTTGGCTTACTTCACTTAGCATGATATTCCCCAACTCCATCCATTTACCTGCAAATGCCATAATTTTATTCTGTTTTAATGCTGAGTAATATTCCATTATGTATATATACAACAATTTCTTTATCCATTCATCTGTTGAAGGATATATAGGTTACTTCTACAGTTTGACTGTTGTGAATTGAGCTGCTATAAACATTGATGTGGCTGCATTTCTATAATATGCTGATTTTAAGCCCTTTGGTATAGACCGAGGAGTGGGATACCTGGGTCAAATGGTGGTTCCATTACAAGTTTTCTAAGGAATCTTCATACTGCTTTTCACAGCAATTACATCAATTTGCAGTCCTATCAGCAATGTATGAGTGTGCTTTTTCCTTCACATCCTCGCCAACACTTATTATTGTTTGTATTCTTGATAATTGCCATTCTGACTGGAGTGAGATGAAATCATAGAGCAGTTTTGATGCAAATTTCTCTAATTACTAAAGACATTGAACATTGTTTCATATATTTGTTGATCGAATGTGTATCTTCTTCTGAGAAGCATCTGTTCAGTTCCTAAGCCCATTTATTGATTGGGTTGTTTGTTATTTTGGTGTTAAGTTTTTTGAGTTCTTTATATATCCTGGAGATTAGTGCTCTATCTGATGTGCAAAAATTTGCTTCCAAAATTTGCTCCTCATTGTCTGTTTCTTTTGCTGAGAAGAAGCTTTTTCGTTTGGGTCTATTCCATTTATTGTTCCTTGATTTTATTTCCATACATCAGTGATGAATCTTCTGAAAGAGAAATTAGGAAAACTACCCCATTCACAATAGCCTCAAAACAAACAAACAAACAAACAAACAAACAAACTTGGGAGTCAGCTTAACAAAAGTTGACCTCTACAATGAAAACTATAGAACACTAAAGAATGAAATTCAAGAAGATCTTAGAAGATGGAAAGATCTCTCATGCTCTTGAATAGGCAAAATTAATATGTCAAAATGGCCATACTATCCAAAGCGCTCTACAGATTCAGTGCGATTCCAGTTAAAATCCCAACATCATTCCTTATAGAAATAGAAAAAGCAATCATGAAATTCATTTGGAAAAATAGGAGACCCAGAATAGCCAAAGCTATCCTTAGCAAGAAGAGTGAAGCAGGAGGCATCACAGTATCAGACCTTAAACTATACTACAAAGCTATAGTAACAAAAATTGCATGGTATTGGCACCAAAATAGACATGTAGACCAATGGTACAGAATAGAAGACACAGAGACAAACCCATATAAACAAAGTTATCTCATACTAGACAAAGGCACCAAAAATATGCACTAGAGAAAAAATAGCCTCTTCAACAAATGGTGCTAGGAAAACTGGAAATCCATATGTAACAAAATGAAACTAACCCCTATCTCTCACCCTGCACAAAACGTAACTCAAAATGGATCAAGGTCCTAGGAATTAGACCAGAGAACTTGTGCCTAATAGAGAAAAAAGTAGGCCCAAATCTTTTTCATGTCAGATTAGGCCCTGACTTTCTTGACAAGATTCCTAAAGCGCAAGAAATAAAATGGTTTTTGATTAAATAAAGAGGAATTAGGGGATATATTTTTGTGTTTCTAAGAGTGACTAATTTCTTTAAAAATCAATTTTCAGGGTATATGTCCTTGGATCACTGATTTCTCTATTCTTTTATTAGTGAGTAGAGCTTCAGATTGCCTGCCTTTTAGATCTCTCAGGTTTTTTAAAATCCATCCCCTACTTTTTTAATGCACTTTGTTTTACACTCCTTGTGAGTCCAAGCAAATTATTTAGCATTGCTTTTCATGAATTCTACATTTTTATTGTTGTTCTTTATCTACATTGACCATATTATACCCTTTAAATCAAAGCAACATTCTTTTTGCCCCAAATTAACTTTGCTTTCATTGAGTAACTAGTTTCTGTAGATGGGCTATTCATTATATATGTAAATATAATTATTTAAAAAAATAAATGTACAAAAGAAGCAGATGCTGTGACATTTATGAAAAATATTTGAGTATGTCTTGATATAACAGTGAGGAGCTGTTTCTTCTTGTTCCTCCTGTTGCCCTTAGTTTACTCAGTTAAGAAAGTTTTCTTCCTGTCCCAAAGTAATTGATGAGGATGACACTTAAAATACCTATAATAGAAAATGTTCTTGATTAAATATCTTGAGAATTCTCTATTTCATGTCTAAAAGGAAGAAGAAGAATTTTCAGTTCTTGCCAGTTGCCTGGGACTTCTGCCAACATTTTACCAAACAGAACATCCTTTCATCAGTGCCTCGTGTCTGGAATGGCCAGTTCCACCATTTGATATTATAACTCAGTGGTGTTTTGAGATAAAATCATTTACTGAAAGACATGCAGAACAAGGAAAGGTATGTAAAAAGAGTGGTATTCACTTGCCATAGTGGTGGTATGCTAATAGAAAATAAAGGACTTCAGGTCATCTGTTCTTGGCAACATTTGTTAGACTGGTTAAATTGAAAAAGTGGTTTACTCAGATAAATTGCATTTTATAGTGTAAAATTTTAGAATGTACAAAGAAATAGTTCTTTTAATAAAGATAAGGTATTAGGTGTTATTTGAAGTTTGTTTTTGGTCAGCAGATTTTTATAGCACTAGACCTGAAAGATACAAAGGAATTTTAAGGTAAACAGGGAACTTGTATTTTTATTTGAAGGAGAACTATCTTACATTTTAAAAAGAAAAAAAAAATGATTTAGACTAGCAAATCTAAAATATCATGAATAACTTGAAAATGTGCTGGGTCTCTGTTGTCAGCTCAGTGGATCAAAGGGTTTGCATTGGAGACAAGTGAGTTGAGAGCAGAGTTGGGGCAGTAGTGAGTAAGCTGTGAGTGCCTTGATTTTGTGCACAGACTTTTCTTCTATAGTATTATAGTTTGAGAAATGGAATAATATGATGAAAATAGTATTCTAGGGAAGTATTTCTAGTGTGTTTCTAGAGTAACTGGGATTACAAGGGAGTATCACCCACCTGCTCATCTTCATTTTATATCACTTCTCTGCCACAACCTTGCTTAAGTCATAAAATAATGTTTCTTAAATAAGCATTTCTTATTTAATTTTCTGACTGAAAATTAAAATAAGGAGAATAAAGAGAGAGGGAAGCAAGAAATTATTTAGGTGGTAAAAATCTGAACTATTTTTATAGTTAAAAATTAGAATGTAACTAATGCAAGAGACATTCAGGAGAAATATATAGGACTGGGTGGCCAGATGTACGTGACTTTAATAAATTGAACTCAAATCAGTAGGAGAACAGTGACTAACGTAGTTCTGGTAGGAACAGGCTTAAACACAATAGGCAAGGGAACACCAGTGCCTATTGAGGAAGATAATATACCATGGCACTCAGTGACCCTCACTATCTGACTTGCCTTTCTGTTCCTCCCACCACCACCACCCCTGCCTTTAAAATGGTACTGGAGAATAAGCCCAGAAGCATTCTGCCTCCCAGACCTTTTTAAAAATTTTTACTTTGAGACAGGGTCTCAGTAAGCTGCTGAGGATGGATGGTCTGAGGATGGCCTCAAACTTGAGATTTTCCTGTCTCAGTCTCTAGAGTAACTGGGATTACAAGGAAGCACCACTAACATGCTCATCTTCATTTTATATCACTTCTCTGCCACTACCTTGCTTAAATCACAAAAGAATATTTCTTAAATATGCTATATGTTGTTAAACTTTGGTAGAATTGTTTTTTATTACTTTTTTTTTTTTAATCTAAGACAATCTTCCTGCCCATCTCCTCTTTGAGACTTAGTGCTGAGATAAATGTTACCTCTTCTGTCTGATAGTTCATCTTCCTTTACAGTTTTAAAGCCCTCCTTCTATAATGCTATTCAACTGTACTTGTGTCACTTTGTCTAACAGTTGGTGTATTGATTATACTTATTTTCTCTAATTCTTTTTGTGCTGGGGATCAAACCCAGAGCCTTATGCATGCTAAGCATATATTCTACTGCTGAGTTCACAACCAGCCCCCATTGATCACATTTATATCTTTAATGTGTCTAACTGGAGGCTTTACAAAGCAAGAAGTCTTATTTATTCTTGTATCCCCAGTTTCTAGAAAATGCCTGATAAAGAGACTGGTAACCTAATATATATTTGTGGAATAATTAAGTGGTAGGATGGTATCAGTGGCAGAAATAGAACTGATGAAAGAGTAGCCAATTTTCAGGGAAAATGAGAATTTTAATTTTGAACATCAAAAAGAAAAAATATTTTATATGGAGATATCAGATTAGACTTAATTTTTAAAATATTGAAGTGAATAATAAAGTCAAGGTAAGCATAAATAATAAATGTCTCTTTTTTACTGAATTTTTTTAAAGAGATACCATCTCATCTTATTTATTTATTTTTGTTAGAAAAAAGAGAGGGAGCTGTAGGTATTGTAGCTTGTACTTCTATAGTAGAGGTTGTGTGTTAGTATGTGTGTGACACCCTGGAAAATTTTCAATCTCCGCCAAGGGAAAGGGAAATTCAAGAACTAATGGAACTTTGTATATTATGTATACAAATCTTTTTCCTGCCTAGGAAATTCTTTATTCATGGATTTTAACTAGAATTGAAGATATACATATACATATAAATATATATATTTTTAATGTCCGAAAATCTAGGAGAAATGACTTGGAGTAAGAAAGATATGGTTATAATTGTGGAACCAGGGCAAAAGAAAAGTGATTACATACTCAAATTTTTTGGTCTTCATATTAACGATGTTAAAACAAGTCTGCATTTCAGAAGAATGATTGTTGGTATGAATATTGATTAAAAAATAAAGAATTTATCATTTAACAATACTAAATCTTTTTGTAAAATTGAGTGGCAGTTATTTGTCTTAGAGTCTTAGAGTAAAAGACATTTATTTTTGCTAATGCAGAATTCTTACTGGTGGTTTAAGTGCACGCCCATCGCTTCCATACTCTTGTCCTTCTTCATTCTTTTCTATTACTAACTCTGACCCTGATTTTAGGTTAACCATATTCCCGCCCGCCAGGAATTTAAAATTTGAATAGAAGCACTTAGCAGAATAAATGGTAATAGGAATTTAATAATCCAACAATACCTTTGAAAGATAGTCTATGAATGACTGTTTCCGAATTTTACTACCAGATAGGAATTTTGTTGTTGTTTGCAAACAACAAAATCAAGTTCTGAAATAAGATAGGAAAACAGAACAAAAGTAAACCACAACAGAAAAAAATGGGATTCATTAGAAGCATACTGAATACTGTGTAGAAATGTAGAAGAGTTGAATTGCCATCCCTTGGGGAGAAGAGAAACCATGAAGACCTCTGGTCTGCTTTCTTGGAAGTGTTGCCATTGGATGCCTCTACCTCAGTTACTTTTCTTCCTTCCATGAGTGTGCTGAAGACTCAGATTCCTGGAGAGAGAATCTGATGGACCTAACTCAAATTATATTAACACTTCTGTGTGGGATAGGATCTTGTGCTAAGGGCAGCCCCATCAGGATTAATATGGAGCAGAAAAGGAGGTTAGTTTCTTAAAAAAAAAAGAAAGAAAGAAAGAAAGAAAGAAAAAAAAGAACACCACCTTATAATGTTGTTAACTTAAGAAGGCAGAAAAAGATACAAGGCAGATTTAAAGAACAAACTGATGGCCCACTGCATTTGCAAGTTACCTGCCAGCATACATACATCTTCGTATTTATAGTTTCACTTTTCCCACTGTCCCAAATGATTTAGTCTTCACATTTGCAACTTCAAATGTATCTATGAATTTTCCAAATATGGAACCTGAGATCCCTGTATTCATAAGCTCTTGAGAGATGTCCATCATGCCTCTGGAAATTTTTGTGTAGCACCTCCTTATCCTGAATTCAATAGTCAAAGAGAGGAACAGAGAATGAAAATGTTTCAAAAAACATGACACAGTAAACAAGAAAATTTGCAACTAGTCATAAAGTTGCAGCCAGTATACAGTCATATATATTTGACTTTTTTCTTTCACCTTCTTTGACCAGCTCCTCAAATGATTAGATTTGTTTAACTAAGAACGTGACCCCAACTTTATTCTGAGAGGTCTAAGCTTCTGGACTTGTTCCATCTTGCTAATATAAAGTTGTAATCATCTTGTGTAAAAATGTTACCTTTTAAGTTCCGAAATAGTCCTACATGGCGATAGTCCCAAAGTTCCATAATACTGCTTTCAATTATATGGCAGTGTTTTTATTCTTTTTGGTACTCAGTGACAGTTCCTGCAGACAATACTGTAAGCCATTTCCATTTCTTCTACTACAAGACATTCCCATTAGTTCTGCTAGTGATATGAGGAACTTAGAATAGTCAGATGACATTTAGATACTGATTCAATGAAACTATTATAGTATGTACTTCCTTAGGTACTAAATTCACAAAAGACTCCAGTACAGCAGTGAAGCAGATTCTTTTTTCTTCTTCCCTCTATTCCTTCCTTCCTTTCTATTTTTGTTGTGATAGGGATCAATCCCAGGGCATCATGCGTGCTAGGCAGGTACCCTACCACTGAGCCATACTCCCAAACCAAAGCAGAAATTTAGGACTGAATTTTTAGTTAGAGGTAAGACGATGACTTTCCACCTCCTGTTTTCCATATCTATACATTCTAGCTGTGAGAAAGAAAGATCACTTATATATACTGGTTGCTATTTAGAGCATATACTTCATTGTACAGGTGTTTTCTTCCAGCTAATAATCAGTTTAGTAGTTTATCATTTAGAAGTACAATAATTTCTTCAGATAATTGAGTATATATTAAGTTTCATGAATTCCATGGACATCTATCTATTGTCTTACATCTTCATAAAGGAAATTCTTTGATTACATTATTGTATAGGCTACAAGGTAATGCTCAAACAAATTGATAAAAGGGTTAAATTTGGGGGGAAACATTGCTGTCTCTTCTGCTTAATGGAAGGGTTCCAGTATAATCAATTCATTACAGAGTATGTCATCTTTGGGGCCTGGGTTAGGCACTGAGTATTGGCAAATGAACTATTATAAGCCCACTTATCCTTACTTGCATGCTTACTTTATCCATGAACTCATTGATAAATAACAACCTAGCCACTTGGTTACTCTACTGATTTAGTTGATTATGGCTGGCTGTAGATAATGTAAGATGAAGATCACATAAGTTGACAGTCATTCATACAGTTTCTTAATATAATGGATTCACACACATTTGATCTACTTTAAGTGTGAATAGAGTAATACCTAGGAAAAATTGATGCTCTTGCCTGTATTTTTCTACAACCCTAACTAAGCTCCCCCGCCCCATATAAAGGAGGAAATTTATTACAAGAATTGTAGCTCCCAGTACTGTGGATATAAATGATCTTAATAGTTTGAAGTATAACAAATTTTACATATTTTAGGAAGGAGATTCTAAGTTATGAAGTATTAAAATATAAAAAATGAGTTATAATTGTGAATTTCCTTAAAAAGGTCATGAATTGTTTGAAAATTAAAATAATAATAATAGGGGAATCAATAGAGTAGAGCAAGCAGATCAGGGGAAGGGAGAGGTGCTAGAGAATGAGTTTGATTAAATTATGTGCATATATGAATATGGCATAACAAATCCCACTATTATATATAGTCATAATGTATCAATAAAAATAAATTATAACTGTTTAAAACTTTTGCATTAAACATGTTAAAAGACAAATATACCAAGATAAATAGTCATGCATGCTGGAGATATTAATATTTCACTTTTAAAATAATAACAAGTTTATGTTATAGGGTGCTTAATCTAAAAAATTACATCTGTTATAAATGAAATCTGCATGAAAATAGAGAATGGTAATTGTTGAAGTACTATTTTTATCAATTGTAAAGTAGAAAAAAGGTATAGCAATAAATATTCACATTTTTGGAAGCAGATTTTCCTTTTTTTTTTTTTAAGCCCTTTTTTAAAAAAATAAACATTTTGTGTTAGCATCTTAAATACATAAGACTAATGAGTATTCTTGGATGTTTTAGGCTTTGCTTATCCAAGAATCAAGATGGAAATTACCGCACCTATTACAGTTACCTGAGAATTATAACACCATTTTTCAGTACTACCACAGAAAAACCTGTAGTGTCTGCACCAAGGTTCCTAAAGATCCTGCTGTTTGCCTTGTTTGTGGTACTTTTGTATGCCTGAAAGGACTTTGCTGCAAGCAACAAAGTTACTGTGAATGTGTATTGGTAAGTAGTAGTACAAAATTTATGAAAACTTAAATCTCATGAAAATTTGGTACATGGGGTCAAGTCAGCTCTTCAAATTTAACTAGTCTTTGAGTTAAACACAATATATATATAGATAGATAGATATAGATAGATAGATATATAGATAGATGGAATGTGTGTTTTGTTTTGTTGCTTTTTAATTCAGTAGAAGAATAAAAAAAAAATCTTCAAGGCTTTAAGTGGGTAAAACCTTTCTTAAAAACAATTCCAGTTCTACTCCTTTCTCCTATTGTCTTTTTTAAAAATATATTTTTTAGTTGTTGTTGGACCTTTATTTTATTTATGTGTATGTGGTGCTGAGAATCGAACCTAGTGCCTAACACACATTAGGCAAGCGCTCTACCACTAAGCCACAACCCCAGCCCGCTCTCCTATTATCTTTTAATGTTACATTTAAATGTGCTATGAAACAACATTCTTCTGTGTTATGGAGGATTCTAGCTTCTAAATTACGTTGGCTCTTAATTGCTTTCCTAGATAATCCTTACCCCAATTCTTCCTAATGTATTAATAATAATATATTGGGAATTGGGTTATAAATTTAAGATAGATGTGATCTTACTTAAAAATATCTTTGTGTTATTTAGAAAGCATTTAAAGACAGTCTTGATTTTGTTATAAAGTTCATTGATTATCAAATGAAATGATATATTTTAAAATTTTCAGCATTCTCAGAACTGTGGTGCTGGAACAGGCATTTTCCTTTTGATCAATGCATCAGTGATCATCATTATTCGAGGTCACCGCTTCTGCCTCTGGGGTTCCGTGTATTTGGATGCTCATGGAGAAGAAGATCGGGATCTTAGGTTAGATCTGCATTAATATATCCATTGTTTTGATGAAATTTGGTCAGTAAGAATCAAAGTGCCATTTCTGAATTTGTAAATATATATATGTATTTTAAATTAAGAAGCTCCACAATCATTAATTTAGAATAATTTCTAGTTTTTGAGTTATTTTTCCTATCAATATGCTGAGGAAACACAAACCAAATCACTGAGATTTTTGCCATATCAAATCTATTAAAAGAAGAAATGCGTGTGAAATCTTCATTATATTGTATTTTAATGCTTCTTTTTTCCTTCCCTAGGCGCGGCAAACCTCTCTACATTTGTAAGGAAAGATACAAAGTTCTTGAGCAGCAATGGATTTCTCATACTTTTGATCACATCAATAAAAGATGGGGTCCACATTATAATGGGCTATGACTCACCACCTCAGCATTGCATTATATCATCATTTTCATTAAGAATTTATTTTATCAACAATAAGCTTTAACTTAATTTGGGGAGAGTAATGTTTTTGCTGAGGGGGAAAAAAAGAATACATTATGAAGCCTTTCCAAAATTAGGTGCTTGGTAATCACTTAATGGAATAGTAATTTTTTTTTAAGTATCTGGAGAACATAATAAATAAATCATTCTTTAGTGGTCATTTTTTTAAGTGCACAATTAATAAAAAGCACAACTTGTCCATAAAATCATTCAGAAGTTATTCTCCCAACAATGCATATCAGCTATTCATTGATACTTAGAATGGGTGTGATTTATTTGAAATTTTATTGCTCCTTTCTATCTGTGTTTTAATTTGCATCTGCTAAACATAATGCATCTTTTTCCTCTGCCATTCTTGTGTTAATTTGAAATTTTTGCTGTATGTAAGTAGAAAAAATGTAAAACATGATTTATGTGAAATATTGTATAGTAAAAGTTAGTCTAATAGTAGAATCTTAATTTTTTTTTCTTATTGTGAGGAATCGTTAAAAGTTTAAGGCTTTGCTGAAAACTTAATTCATTCTCAGGAATTTCATAAATATTCTCCCCAGGTAAATGAAATAGTTGTAAAATAAGTAGATAGCGCTGTTTATATAAATACAATACATTTTGAAGGGCATATGTGTGATTGAGGGGGGGTCCTTAATAATTAAAATTTGTGAACTGAAGGTGTAGCTCAGTGGTAAAGCACTTGCCTAGCATGTGTGAGGCACTGAGTTCTATCCTGAGCACTGCAAAAGAAAAAAAGAGAAACCAAAAGATTTAAGAAAATCCACATGACAAATTTTGATCCTGTGCATGCCCACCTTTTATTACCAACCAAGTTTTTGTTTATATGATTGGATTGGAAATACTGTAACTTCCCAACTAATGAACTGAACCGTAAGTTTTGGAACTTTCTTATCAGCTCAAGAGATTCAGTTACATTGTATTCATGCAGTGGAATCACTTCTGTTTCTGCTTGGTTTACTATAAGGAGAAAAAAAGGCTCAGTGGTGATGAACCTCATGAATGAACAGTACATGAAAAGCAATTTTTGTTTGTAAGGGTTTTTAAATCAGTAAAAATGGGATGATTGAGCTACAATCTACTCTATAATAAGTACATGGAAAGCATGTTATACATTGCTACCAAGATTTTTTCCAGATGACTCAGTAATTTGATGATTATTTCATATATCGTGCTATTGAGCAATTCCTGGTACTTTGGAATTTCATGGCTTGTTATATAAAATTATAATTTTACATGAAAAATAAAATTTAAAACATCTAATGATAAAACGTAAAAATAACATCAGATCCATGTTCTAAAATTTTTTTGAATGATATGGCATTACCGAATATGAAAATAAACATTAAATGATGGCCTTGCATTATAATAGGGAAAGCAGAGTAGTACATATTCAACTGTGTTCAGAACATCAATAAATTACCTACAGCTCTACAAGAAAATACATGGAAATAGCCTGCTATTTTTATATACATTTCCAAAATATTCAGACAACTTTCTGTAAGACTAGAATGATTCTGTTTCACTAAATCACTGTCCTTTCCAACACATTGCTACTTTTTAAAATACTGTATCATAAGTTCAGCCTGTCATATTTTTTGCATTGGTCATTATGAATACCAGACCATTTGTAAGTGTGGTTGAAGAGCAAAATACTAATTCACATCTCTAGTAAATACTGTTACAGGATTCATGAACTTGAATAATTCTACAGTTTGAAACTGATGCTATATATACCTGGTATAATGTATTCAGACTTTGATTACTACATATTTAAAATGGAATGTTTTATGGTTGTGCATATGGATGTGAAGTGAAAATATTAGCCTTAACTTTAAAATTTGGGTATTTGATAGTGTTTATTTTGATATTGGTGAATTAGTCACCAGTAAATTTTAAAAAAGCACTTGGTTGAAAATTGTACTTGAATACATACATGCATGCTGCTAAACTAGAACTTTAATTTTTTTCTCCATAACTTTTATAAGTCCCATTTATAAACCCACTTTTAAAAATAACAGGTCCAAGTTAGAGTGATGTGTGTATATTATTAAAAAAAATGTACTGGTGTGATATCTTGTATGAATGATCATTTAAATACAGTACATTACTGTAGAAGCTAAAACAGCCTTTATAATTAAGCAGAAATTACAAAACTAGGAATAACCAACATTGTAAGATATGTTAATAAAAACCTACTGTCATTTGGTTTGTGAAAGGTCCTTAAAATTTTTAATGCTAAATGTTTTTCTTTTTCCAAAGATATTGACAGTGATATATGTGAGTGGCCTAAAAGATCAAAGCACAACATAACTAATAGTTTCCTTAAGGTGGAGTTTAATGTGAAGGGTTTGCCTTATATTTTGCCTTTTATTTGCAGAGCTAGATCCTGTTTCTTTTGTCCTGGTCTCATATCCATTGTTAAATCTTTGCTAAATGTGTTGGGGTAGAGGAAGAGGGAAGTGGGTGTATAGACCACTGCTATGGTCCCTGCTAGACTTCAGACTTTATGATGACATTTATTTTGAGTAGGCTATGATCTTGTCTGAATTGACAGTCCTCACACTTCCACCTCCCTGCTAAAACTCACCAGCTAGTCATCAGCTGGGGGACCATTTATATTCTCAAGAGTTTTCATTTGATTTTATGCATTCTGGTACTCATTGATTTCTGTGACGTATAGAAGAACTAAAAGCACTGAAAACAACAACAGTACAGAATACTCTGTATACCGTTTCCAGGACTGCAATTGCAACTCTCAAATTCCTGTTGTTGACTTGTGTTTGAGGTCACATTGGGAAAAAGAAAATGAAGAAAAGCATGGTTTTGACCACTAGAATTAGAGGCAAGGAACATTTACTGATGGTTATGCCATATAGTTAATGGTTGTGGGAGAGCCAGTGACCTGTGACTGTTCCTCAGTCCCTCCCATTCATAGCACTTAGTCCTTTCCGCCAAGGCTTTGTGATCTGGCTGAGTGATATCAAACACTGCTTAGTTCAACATGAATGAGCTGAAATGAATAAAATAATGGCAGTATGATCACTTCTTTATGACCTTTCAAACTTTCTATTAATCACACATCAAGTATGGAAGTGCTGTCACCTGGCGATTTAGTGCATAGTAACCAAGTAGCAGTGGAATGACTGTGGCTCCAGCTGATACAACATAATGAAAAGGCACAATGGGAGCTTGTATAGAGCTGCCTTTGTGAATTAATGTAAGGTGTGACAATACCAAATTGAGAAGGAAAACTCAAGAGCACACCAGGAGAATTTGGGTCAAGAGTAGGTTGCAAAGACTTCAGCTGCTGTAGAAGGAAAAAGTACAAGAGCAAAGAAGGTCTGGAGCAAAATAGGATTTATATCTGATTCCCTTGTATCTTGATGACAGGAGTAGAATTATGTGTTGAGAATGAGTAGGTCTATCATAACTTAGGGACTGGAGGTAAGTGATAAAAAGTCCAACCATATGCTAGGAGAGAGAATTTACCTAAACAATGAAGCTATTTTGAGCTTCATTGGGGTTAGAAACCATAACTGTTTAATGCAACCAATTAGAAAGGTTCTGTGACCATGTGGAATCCCTGAGATCCAATCTAGGATCTGAAGGATAGAAGTGAGATTGCTAAATTAATTCATTGTTGATCATTGGAGAGGAGGATGCAATACATAAGGGTATAGTATAAGTTCCAAGAGAAATAGGTGTGCTGGTTGAAACAAGAGTGGGGTACGTGTTAGATTTGTAGGATGAATTGAGGGATTTGGATTAGAAGTGACTAAGATTCAGGGAGAAGATTTAATGGGAACTTGAAGTTTTCTTTTGAAAGTTTGAAAAATTGCTTCAGTGTTGAAGCATTTAGTTTCAATGACTTAGTAAATATTTATTGAACTCCTCTTCTGAGCTATCCACTATGATAAATATTGGAAATACAATAGAAATCAGATAGTCCCTTCTCTTACTTGGCTTCATGTGTCATTAATGTTACAAATGACAAGTTTGAGGGGCTCTGGAGTTGAGAGTACTATACAGTGGGGCCCTAAAACCAGACCTGGGTCATATGAGAGGTCTAGGATAATTCCTACCTGTGTAGATGTTATCAAGGTGAAAAAGGAGGTATAAAGAATTGTTTTAGGCGTAGGGAAGACCATTTTCAAAGATCAGAGTTAAGAGAGCACTTTTAGCCAGGGACCTGATAGGGAGTCATTCTGATTCTCTGCATAAGTGCTTTTGAAATGTAAGGAAAGTCTAAAATGACAAGAGTGTCGAAAGCTATTCTAAGGATTTTAGAGGTTCCTGCCCCCACCCCAGAACATAAGTGTCTGTTGTGTGCCAGATACTAAGCTAAATGCTGGGGATAACATATTGAACAAGACGGAAAGGCTCAGTATCTGCTCTCATTCTAGTACAGAATAAAACATTATATAATCACAGGTCAATTGGATGTTGTCAGCAAGTTAGGCAGAGGGTTATGGGAACCAGTGGACTCTTAGTTTGGGAAGTTCACAGAAGGCTGCATGGAAGAAATGATGGTGAAACTGTGACCTGAAAAAGGGCAGTGGTGAGCTAAGTGAAGGAGAAAGTAGGAGAAGGTATTTAAGAAGATTAGTACGTAAACCCTGAAAAAGTGAATAGGTCTCTAGAAACTGAAAGAAGTTTGAAAGCACTGTTGAAGCATAGAAAGCAGAAAGGAGTATGATTAGACATGATGCAGAAAAGACGGGAGGCAATCAGATGCAGTCTCTTGACCCCTAAAACGGTTTTATTTTGGTTATAGTCTCAATTTAGAATAGAGGTCAGCAAGCCTTTTCTACAAAGGGCCAGACAGTTCATATCACACTATTCAGCTCTGTCCTTATAAGGCAAAAGCATCCATACACAGTCCTTGGTATAGAGAATGAAAGAAAGAGAACAGGGAAAACCATTTAGGAGTATAGTTCAGTAGCCAGAGGAGAAATGAAGACATTTTATACCAGGGCTGTGACAGAAACAACTTATATTCTGACCTGATGGTTGGTAGTGTTTTATAAATTAGGAAGCAGTGGTGGAGGATCATGCATAAAATTGAATGTGATGTGCACAGATTTTGACATTAAGTGTGGGATTTCTCTGGGTTATCCATGTGGGTGGGTATGTAGTAGTTACTGTATTCAAGTATGCACTCAAGATAAAGTGCTGAAATGAAGACTTAGATTGGGGATTCCATTTACAAATTATAGATGAAGTTGTGGGAGTGTGTCATCCAGAGAAGTCTGTGTAATACCCTAAGTTGTGTCTTCATTTAGTGGACAGGCAGAAGATGATGGACCTAATGATGAGACTGATAGGAGGAAGCGGTGGGTAGGAGTTGGAATATAAAACCCTAGGAGGATGCATACTTCAGAAAAAAAGTCAACAATAGTCAAGTGTGATGGAGAGGCTAAGTGAGATAGAACCAGAGTACTCAATGGATTTCGTGACAAATTAAGTAATTTATTATCTTTGATAAGCATAGTTTTGAGGTGGTAGAGGTAGAAGCTGAAATGTAGCCTCCAGAGGTGAGAAGGTAGGAAAGTTTGACAAATGTGGAGTTGTAGAACACAATTGTCTAACTCTCCCAGGACACTTAGCCATATGTGCATCAAAACTTACTTCTAATTAGCTTTTGTGTTTTATTTAGATGGTGATGGTTTCCATCTGAGTCTAGGGCTTGAAATTAGTAGACCTGGATTCAAACTACCACTCCTCACATCAGTATATTAGTCGTGAATGAGCTTTGTTTCAAGCAAAAGAAAATCTGACTTAAGCCATAGCCAGGTGTTTATTTAAGGGGAAAGGAAGTCTGAAGGTGAGCAAACCAGGAAGTGGCAGCTGCTCAAAAAAATTATTACTGGCTTAGGCTCCTGCTGTTTTCCTTTTTCACATAGTTAGATTATAGCTTTCATTCTCATGACTGGAGGATGGCTGCTGATCTCCAGGCTGCCAGTGGATGAAAACAAGATGACAGTTCACCTTGTCTGTATCCATGTGGGTATGGTCAGGGCCACAGTCATCTGAGGCTTAACTGAGTCGAGAGGACCTGCTTCTAAACTCACATGGTTAGTGTCCAGCAGCTGATTTTCTCAGGAAGAAGTGATCACAGAGAGGGAGAGATAAAACACTCATAAAAGCATACCCATGATGACAGCTCCAGTGTTATTTGTAACCTAATCTTGGAAGTGGCATATAACTTCTTCTAAACATCCCAACCCTGGGCTGATCTTACTGAAGAGAAATTGCCAAAAGAGTGGGCAGGATTTGCATAGTCTTAAAGTCTGTCCCCCAAAGTTTGTACTAATTACAAAGAGAAAGGTAGTAAGTTGCAGTGAGAAAACATGATATACCATTTTTACCGAGTGATTAAAGCTGTCACCAGTACTAAAGTATATTGACTTCCCTTTATATGATGCAATGTCATTTCTGTCACATAACTGCAAAAACCTGGATAACTTCATTCGAATCATGCGGAAAACATCAGACAAATCCAACTGAAGAACACTACAAAATCATTTACCATTACTCTTTGAAAGTGTAGATGAAGAACAACTTCAAATTGCAACAGACTGGAAGGGACTAAGGAGACATGACTACGTGCAAGTGGAATTGTGGAGAAGAGACACCAAAAATAGCTGGCAAAATTCAAATAAGTCAGTAGTAGTAAACTAATGCTAGTTTTTTATTTTGATAATTGTGCTAAGGTTATGTGAGCTTTTAGTGTTGGGGGAGCAGAACAAAGGATATATAGAAACTGTTTGCACTATCCATGCAACTCTTTTGTAAATCTAAAATTTGTTTTGAAATGGAGGGGGAAAAACACCTAAAGTCTAAGAATGCTTTCCTGAAATAAACTTCTGAGTTCATATTAAAAGAGCACACATAGTACCAGGAAAATTGACTATTGATAGTCAGCTAATTAAGACCTACCCTAGAAAAAAATTTTTACTATAAAGATATAAGTTCTCAGAGCTTACAAGAAAAAAAAAATCACTGGAAAAGGCAAGAGAATCAGACTAATGTTAAGACTTTATACAAACAACATACAATGCAAGGCAAAGTTGAGCACAATTTTAAAAATTCTCAAAGTATAGCCCAATGATTTTACTTAAGGTCATGCTGACCTTAAAGTATCAAGACCATAAAAGATTATTTTAAGCCATGAAAATGCATTCTTTCTAGAGAAAATCTGAAGAATGTGTCATTCAAT